CACACACAGACTCATGCCCACTCCTGAGCTCACACCCACACCCACCTCACACTCACACTCTGACACACACTCTCACACACACAGACTCATGCCCACTCCTGAGCTCACACCCACACCCACCTCACACTCACACTCTGACACAAGGGCTCACTCACACACTCTCACACACACTCTCACACACACAGACTCATGCCCACTCCTGAACTCACACACCCACACCCACCCCACACTCTGACCTCTTCCCCCTTACACATTGTGAGCCATATCAGAGAATGTTGTTTCAGTATTTCTTATAATTAGCTTTGTTGAGGTCTTTATAATATCTCATAGTTCAGAGTAACCTCTTAGTCAAATGGGGATTTCTCTTTTCTTATTTATCTAACGTAACTTTAACACTTCATATATAGAAATTACATGTCCATCACAGATTTATACACAATACTTAAGCAGGCCAGATGGCTCCCCTGGTTAAAGTGCCTGCTGCCAAACCTAACACCCTGAGTCTGATTGGTGGGACCCACCCAGGGGAAAGAGGAAACCAGCTCTTTCAAGTTGTCTCCTGACCGCCATAGTTGGGCTATGGCGCCCATATGCACACATAAATATCAGTTCAAAAAGAAAATAGATAAATATATCTCAAATGTAAATATTACTTACTTGGTTTTTCCAATAAGTTAGACTATGGTGGATCTAGCGATATTTTATACATTAAAAGAGAACAGTAATGTGCCCAAGGGTGACTCAGCTTCTAACAAGTGTTAGAAGGAAACTCAAACCCAGGAGTACTGGCTTGAGAGTCCAAAAACCTCTAGTTTGGCCCATGGTCCTACACAATTAGGCCCCCAGCATTTGTTGAGTTCACACATACAAGATCTATTTTTTGCCCCTCTTGTATGTATGTCTTATGTTGTTGGCCAACATATCTATTTATGTATGCCCACAAAAGTTGTGAATGCCGAATTTATGTTGGGTTGCAACCTCCATCATTTCCAAAATCATTTTCCAGTTCATTTTATTGTATCTATCTTGTTATATAAAGTACATGCATTGGTTTCTTTCAGTGTACTGGTTCTACTAGAGTATTAGCTTGGTCAAAAACCTGTAATATTAGGTTAGTCCAACAAAACTTATGATAGATCATTGTCCAGAGAGTAGAAGCTAGAATCAAGTCCTATTTTCACAGAATAAGACAAAATTTAAAATCAACTATTTTTAATATGTGTCTTACCCTACTTTTTCTCTCAGCTTGGTCTACAGAGTGAGTTCCAGGACAGTCTCAAAAATAAAAAATAAAATAAAGTACTAAACTGTCTCCATCTCTTTGATGCCAGTTTGCCAGATATTTGCATCAAGATCTACCTTGACGATAGGACTTTTTTTCATATTCTGCTAGTGGTCTGGAGTTTTCAGTCCATATTCTCACCTCAAATATATATGGATATGCAATATATATAAATATACATACATACATACATACATACGTACATACATGTCACATATATAGGATTGGCTTTCATCTTTAACCATTTTCTTTTCAGTTCACAGGTAGATGTCACAGTAACATATGTGGACTAACAGTGTTGGGTCATTCTTACCCCTTTTATAGCTGTATTCAATATCTTAGTTTTGGATAAACTGTTTAAATTCCATTTCTCTGCCCTA